AAACTGTAATTTATGGTTAGATTTGTATCTCAGACTCACACACGCTCACACATGCATTAGACAAAAAGAGAGGGGAAGAAAGAGAGAAAATGAAGAAAAGATAAAGTTAAGAGAGAGAGAAGGAGAGAAAAAAAGAAAGAATGAATAGAAAGAGAGAAAGAGAGAGGGGAGAGAGAGAGACGTACCCAGCCGGTAGCCAACAGTCGTTGGTTTGAAACCCCTCTTCTTATTGGCCAGCGTGTTGCCTGTCAAGCTGACGTTATCGGCATTGGATGGATTGACTAAGGCTGACTTGGAGCCTGCGGTGTTTTGTCAAATAGAAAAAAAATCTTTTGAAAGGGTGAATAATATTTTTTTTTGTACGTTGAGTGTTTGAAAATTTTTGAAAAGTTGTATATCGCAAGAGAATGTTCCAATGCGAACTAGTTGAGTGACAGTTGGAGGAATTATCAGATGGATGGCTAAAAATTTGTGCATTTAGTGGCTTGTTAAGTTGAAAAAATTATTAAATTTATATGTTAAATTGAAAAAATTTCAAATTTTTTAAAAATGAAACCAAATTTGTGTTAAATAATAACCAAAAATAATATTTTAAAGTGATCGAATAGTAGTCACATTTTTAATAAATGAACTAATTAACAAGTGAAAAACATCAGCTGATAGGATTACGTCATCAAACAAAATGACGAATCGACTGATTATAATCCAACTAGTTAATTTCCATATAACTACAGAGTTTTAATTTTAAATCAATTCATCTCTCTCTTAAATACTTTTTGTCACTAATGAATGAATCACAACAAAAGCATCAACAACCAGAGAAAGAGAGAGAAAGAAAGAAAAGAAAGAGGAATGAGAGAAAGAGAGAGAGAGATACTGACCGGTCATTTCATTGTCCGACCGACAGGAGCTGCACTCGCCGGCCACAGCAGCGCAGCAGCAGCTGGCCACCTCATCCATCTCGCCGTCGCCTCCATCCTCCTCACCGCTACTACCGCCATTTTTCTGCAGTCCAGCTCTTCCGGTCAGGCTGCTGCTGTTGTTCCTCAGCCGTTTCTTGTATGATAAAACTTTCGGCTGACCGACAGCTAAAGCCGTTATAGCTGAGATTTTCGTAGCTTTGTTAAATTTTTCACTTGCAGTCAGCCTGCTAGGAAGGCTGCCACCACTACTTGAAGAAGAAGCACTTGTGGACATTGCGGCTCGTTTCGAAGCGGCCATGATGAGAGATGAAGATGCGATTTGAGATAATTCTGAGCGGAGTGTGGATCGGCGTCTGATTGGATGTGGCTGGTGGTGGTGGAGAGTGGTGGACGGTGGTGAAGATTGGTGGTGGATGTGTTCTTGTTCTTCCGGCTGTTGTTCATCTTGTTGAGAGTGTGGTGGGTGTTGTTGTGGCTGGCTGGGGAAGAGTTGTGGTATGTATATTTGCTGTGGCTGCTCTACGTCCAGTAGCAGGTGTTGGTGCAGGGAGGATTGCTTTTGTGGCTGCTGCTGAATTGGAGTTTGGTTTTGATGATGCGAGAAAATTTCTGCTG